AAACTCACTGTCTAAGGAACACACCAAGAAAAATATCCTCAATGGAGAAATTTTTCTTTCTCACCCTCATAGACGGCAATGGAAGAAGCCTATTGAGAAGAAAAGACTTTTAAGGTCTATGGTGAGAATCTCGGCAGTAGAGAAGGTCTATGGTGGAAATCTCGTATTTTTCAGTATTAGACCATACACCTTCTCTGGAACAACACTCTCTCTATCTTTCTTCTTATTTTGAGAGATGTGTTGCTTCCAAGATCTTAAATATCCACTTTGGATATTAAAGATCTATCAAACGCAACGCCAACCGCTCTGCCAAGCAGAATCTGGTGAAGCTGAAAACAGTCAATGGCGGAAGAGATCACAAAATCTCAAGACAAAACTTTGTTTAGGAAGTATTGTAATTTGAATTGTATTTGTTTAAGAGTGTTTGTTAACAAGCTGTATATTATGAGAAACTAAAAGAAAGTTACAAAATTAGTTCTCAGTACAGCGACCGAAACTCTTAAGCACTTGTTTGTCATCATCAAAAAGGGGGAAATTGTTGGGAAAAATATCATAGATTTTGATGATGTATTTAGAATGTAATAGGGACTTTAGGTCTCCCCCAATACTCAATGTAATTTTTCTTTTTAGAAATATTGTTAAAACCAAGTTCTTGAGTTTTCCAATAAGGTTGTGATATTTCATTTAGCGTTTTTGATGCCTGAAGACTTAATCAAATTCAGTGATATGGAAATTGGATATCTTGATCGGAAAAGCTAGAGACAAGTAAGGATTTCTCAAGCAGATGAAAATCCTCTGTTCCGGAAGACTACATAAGAACCGGATGTCTCGCTACAACCCGCTGTAGGCTAAGTCACCCAAATCGGAAGACTAGCGCGGATCTCTCTCTCACCCGGAAGTCTGAGAATGACTCCTCCGAATTTGTCAGCTAAGAACTGGATGCCTCAAGGAAGACCGGAATTCTCAAAAAACGGACAAGTGAGAAAAGACTTAGAAAATTATGCTGATTCAAGAACAAATGACTCGAAGACAAAGTCTGAATCTCTAAAAATTGAAGAACCTGTCCAGAATTCCTAAACAAGCACTAGAAGACAAACTCTATGGAAAAAGGGAATCTCTCCTTTAACAAATGGGTATGTCCAAACACCCATTCCAATGAGGAATCTTCAAATCACAATCTTCATTCAAAATTGAAGCCAGCAAATGCAACGGATAGTCTATTATGATTCAACGGATAGATTATCCAATCCAGCTATAAATAGCATCCTTGGAAGACTGAAGAGAAAACGATGAGATAACAAGATACAACAACACAACAAAGCAATCTCATTCACAGTTAGCACAAAAAGGCTTGATATAGAGAGATTTCTAAACTCCTTATCTAGAAGCAAACTTCTCCTCCTTCCAAAAAGCTATAGTGTAAACACTTGAAGGTTTCCTTGCCTCAAGCACCACACCACGTTGAAGGATATTACCTTTGATCAAACTTATTGATTAAAAGGGGGTAGGTCAACTCTCTTACAAGTTGATCTTGCAAGTCCTATTGTTCGGATCTTGCAGTTGTTGAAGAAGCTTGACCTTCGAAGGAACAACAAAGCCAGCACGAGTGCAGTAGCAACATTGGTCTTGTGAAGATATAGGCACGTCTTTAAGTGTGTTCACATTAACAACCAAGATTATTCAACAACCAACTACATAGTGGATTTTGAGGACGTAGAAGGATTACCCCACCTTCGAACCTCGTTAAAGTTTGCGTGTCTCTCTCTCTTATCTTTATTCTTACTTGCAATTATATTAACTGTGAAAACTAACCTATCCATATTGATTACTGCTCACTCTACCCACCAAAATTCCGCACACAATCTAAAGTTCACAAGGACTCTAGATTAACACTGATTTTCACGTTTTCAAAAGAAACGAAAAAGATTTTAAATCTGTAACAAAGTCTATTCACCCCCCTCTAGACTTTGTATTTCACCACTTTGGGACCACCACCGGTCAACGGCGGCCGCAGGTGGCGGAGCAGCGGCGGTGACCGGCGGCGGCTGGCGACCGGAATATGGTGGCGGCGGTGACCAGCGGCGGCGACCGGAGACTGGGGGCCGGCGACTGGCGGCGGCGGCGGAGACCGGCGACCGGCGGCAACGACAGGTGACTGGCGGCGGTCAATGCTGGAGTCAACGGTCAAAGTCGAGTCAGCACCCCCTCCTTTGATTTTATTTTTTCAAAACAAATTCAAAGTGTTGAAAAAAATATGGTGAGCTTTGCCTTACAGTTTGGTGGGCTTTGTAGTTGTGCTTGGTGAGCTTTGCAGTGGACAGTGGTATGTTTTGCGTCATCTGACCGAAGCATGTCATCGCACTAAAAGGTGTCATCTCACTGAAGTCAATCCCATATATATATATATATATATATATATATATATATATATATATATATATATATATAATTTAAATATTTTATTATTAAAAAAGAAAAACATAAAAGTGAGGGGTGGCTAGGCCCCCAACAAAGAAGCCAAAAGAAAAGAAAATGAGACAAGCAAAATAGACAAACAATACAAGGCCCCATATCCAAACAACCAACTAACAAATAAACCCATTGCTGGCCAAACTGGAAAGCTCCACCCGTGGCAGGCTCACGTACAACCAACATCCCAGATAGGCAGAAGCTGGTGGCAATAATGCTGTTCGAGAGTTACTGTATTGCCCAAGAACCTCAGCCCCAGATTCCTCCACGTACAGCTGCCCAAAAACCATAAGGGTGTTTTGCTCCAGACCTTAGTTTCCTGTTACTCGCAAAAACCAATAGGAGAAAAAGCTGCAAAAAGCTCATGCTTCTCTAGGTACAAAGTAAGAACAGGCCAAAGTAAATACCAACAGTACTACAAAAAATTCTAATGCAGCTCCCTCTCCCTGAAAACAGCCTCCATCATCAGTGCATTATGTCACAGCAATGTGGTAGTTCCCAACATAGCTAGGAAAGTACTGCCCTCTCTTCTAATCTCTTGGATTTTCACAGATTTACCCCTTTTATTGATACCAATGGAAAGGTAAATGGTCATCTTTTCCTCTATTTTGGACACTTCCCAACAGGTAGGCTTCGCAAAAAAAGGCAAAGAACCTAGGATCCAATTGACACTTTCCAAATCGAACCAAATGAAATATCTTCTAGCTCAAAAATCAGAAATGCAGAAGTTGTGATTGTAGAAGGAATAAAAGAGCTCAAATACCTTATTAGGTGTCTGACATTTGAATATGAGGCTTCGGGTGGTTGCCTTTGAACACGCTTCAATTCCATTGAAACATAATCTGGAGTCGCTGTAAACGTATTGGTCACGCTTTTCTTTAGGGAGGGGGTTCTTGAAGGGCAATCCACGCAGTCCTTGATGAAAGTGTGTCTCCGGAAGATGAAACTTGCATTTTCTGCGGACTCCCTCGCATCGGGCATAGCGTGTAGAAAATCTGGTCCTGTAGATTTTCCGACAAGTAGTATCGCTGAAAAAAATGGATGGTCGCCGTTGACGGATAGCCCCAGAACCGCCGCTCCTCCTTCTCTCTAAAAAAGCCATATATATGTGTGTGTGTGTGTCTATACATACATACATACATACATACATACATACATACATACATACATACATACATACATACATACATATATATATATCAGGATTGACTCCAGTCAGATGACACCTTACGGTGAGATGACCTGCTACGGTCAGATGACGCAAAGCTCACCAGCCACTGCAAAGCTCACCAAGGACAACTACAAAGCTCACCAAACTGTAAGGCAAAGCTCACCATATTTTTTAAACACTTTCAATTTTTTTTGAAAAAAAATCAAAAGAAGGGGTGCTGACTAGACTTTGACCGTTGACCATCACTGGCAACCCCTTGCCGCCGCCGGCCGCCGCTGCCGACATCCTCCGCCGACCACCACCGCTGACCGGTGGTTGACCGGTGTTGATATTTTATTTTTTATTAATTTTTTAATTTTCAAAATTAAAAAAAGGTGAGTTTTGGTGTTCAAAGTGGTGAGCTTTGCTTTATTTCCAGGTGAGCTTTACATATGCCATTGGTGAGCTTTGCAGTGTAATGTGGTGAGCTTTGCGTCATCTCACCGTAAGGTGTTATCTCACTAGAGTCAATCCCATATATATATATATATATATATATATATATATATATATCCGTGTGTGTGTATATATATATATATACACACATACATACATACTAGTATTTAACCCGTGCAATGCACGGGGTCGAACGCATGTTGTTTTTAACTCTATTAAATTTTTTTAGTAAATGATTAAAAATATAGCTTAATATAATATACAATGTTAGAAGTTTAATGAATGATATGACATAAATAGAGTATGTTAACTAAAATTCATGTATATAAATGTATTAATTACATCCAAATTTTTTGGAAAACATCTGGATAAACAACATTTTTGGTGCAATTGCAAGAGTTACCGTTTTCATCTAAAACTAACACCTTGAATCTTTTTTTAGTTTCCACTCGTGGAACTCCAACATAAAGTTGACTGAGTATTTGTCGAGTTTTGATGTTTTCAGTCAATCATTTTCAACCTTTGACCTATAACTAAATGAAATATATATTGTATATTAATTAGATAAAATAATATTTTGTAAATATTTGATATAATAAATCTAATAAAATTATTTTTGTATCAATATCTAATATCATTTTTATTTAATTTGAGAACATACACCAGTATTTCACGGTAGTTTCAATCCAAAGTGCTCAAATAAATGTTAACTATATTCCGAATCCAAAGTGCTAAAATAAATTTTAAGGGCAAACAAAGTATAGAATACAATAAGATAGATGAAATCCTTAAGTCCAAACTTTATATATTGATTGATGACAGTTACATCAGCCAGGATAGATTTGTTCAAGCCTCCATTTCCCTTGGCCTTTAAAATAAAATTATAGAGAAATTTAATAACCCACTTGAAAACAAAGGGGAAGGTCAAAATTTTGTAGGGCATACGAATAGATATTTTGTGTGCGGGACCCAATAATTTGACGAAATGCCAAGAATAACATAGCTTGCAGTAGATACTTTGATGGATACCCTGGACAGGGGGTATCCGGTCTTTGTATAATATTAGTGGGGGCGGTCCAGTTTTTTGGATCGGCTTGTTAGCCATATGTTAATTATTTAGGGGCGGCCCAGTCTGTTGGGCCGGCCCATTAGTTCGAAACCCTAGCCCTAGCTCTCCTTATTTATACTTCTCATCTTGGAAGAGGAGGGAAGAGGGGAAAAAAGGAGGCTACACCACACAATAGTATTCATCATCTTCCTTACACATTTCTCCTTCCTCTCTACCCTTGGGTTCCATAACCCAACAACTGCTTTAGTTAATCTTTTAGTAGTTGTGTTCAAAATTTACTTTTGATTTCATGTGTATGTACTTGCATGCTCACATGTTATCTGTTCTATTGTCATTTTCACCAGTCAAAGTAATCACGTACAAAGAAAGGAGATTTGTTTAGCACTAATGTTAATATTAAACTTAAGAGCAAGAATATCACCACACACATAAAAATTTATCAGTTTTTGTAAGTAAAGGATAAACTTTCCCACCACTTTGTTCTATAACCTGAAATGCTCAAAATCCCTCTGAAATGTTATAACCTTCTACCACTTTGTTCTATCTATTAATTTTGGTTTGTCCACTTTGAAAGATCATGGGAACCTTAAAATTAGGTTGATGGAACATAATTCTTGAAGCCTCAGGGTTCCTGATCAAATATCATATAAGGTAACTACCTCTTCTCTAGAAAGCCGTTCAATCTATGGAAATCTTAGATTCTCAATTATAGAGTATAATGTCTTGCTTAAAAGTTGGTTATTCCCTTTTTTAATGTTAGCCTCGCACATTGAAAATCGTGTTCTAGAGGAGTGTGCTTAGATTAAATAAGGACAATTCTTTGCTTTTTTTCATGCACTCGTGCATTCACTATATTCAAAACTAAGATAAGTGTAAACAAGTTGGAGGGTCAAGAGTCCAAATATTTTAATGTTAATTTCTGGAAGAAATAGTTATAGGGCTTGGGGAGGGAGAGTATGTTGTAACTTCGTGGGGGTGCAGCGGAAATCGCCAATTAAAAGCTACGCAAAGAGATCAAACAACTGTGCTGTAGAGAAGATATTGCAGCACTGTCACAGTAACAGATGACAGACAGAGTGCTACAACACCTTCTCTGTCACAAGCACACACGTAGAATATAAAGTAAAAACAGTAAGCAAGACACCTTCGGAGCAAATTCTCCTACGTCTTCTGGGCCCACGTCCGTGTAACAACCCTTCCACTAAATCACCATAAGAATTACACAATCAATCACAAGAGAACCTTCTAATGTATTGACTTGTCTACTTACGAATGACTTGACGGCAAACTCTGTTTACGTCTATCTCCACGGCTTGTTACACCTTCTCAAAGATCTTCTTCAAGGACGTAGATTCCAGTACACTTTCAAACAATGATTCTCCTTCATCTACAAAAACATGCAGGCTGATCCGAAGCTCATAAATCGAGAATCAACCGTTAGAATTCAATGTCCACCGTTCAGATTGAAGCTCCACGAATTTCAGCACGATCGGACAAGATTTGGTACTCTGATCATCGACAAAACCAGAGCTGCGTTCTGTGCAAACAATCAGCGGCAATATGCAGATTGTAACTTCGATAACAGAAGATCCGTAACTCAGATTGACGTGAACATTTAACACGTTGAAGCCCTGTGTGTTGGGAACACTCTCTGAAATTTTTAGCAAAATCCAACGGTCGGATCTTCGGCAATGATCAAATTTGTGCAGGCTGTGCAGAAAATTTGCACTATCTAACAAACTGGACCGCTCCCACTAATATTATACAAAGACCGGATACCCCCTGTGTAGGGTATCCATCATGAGTCCCCCACTTTCCGAGCCGAGAGGAACTCGAGGTGAAGTGGAAGTAGAACAATAATCCACCACGGAGGGAAGCTGTCTTCCTTGCTGTCTAGAGTGCACCGCCGACTCGCTGTCCCGGGCACGGTGGAGTAAGGAAAGCAAACACCATCAGTCTGAAAATGTAATGCCAATTCGTTGTCTAGAGTAAGGCAAGGTGAAAGAATCTGCGCCCATGGATACGAGGTGCTTTGCCGACTTGCTGTCTGGAGCGACAATGGGAAAGAAGTAATAACAATCAGCATGAAGTGCACTACCAACTTGCTGTCCGGAGTGGCAAAGTGAAAGAAGTCGTAGCAATGAGCATGAAAGGCGATGCCAACTCGCTGTCCCGAGTAGCAAATGGAAAAAGTCTGCCTCAATCTGCTCATTGTCTTTAAATGATCTACTCTCGTACAGAGTACATCTTCAGTCCGCTGTTAAGCGCACAATGATCACAATATGTAATACCCCGTATCAAGATGGGAATGGGAAGAGCTCGAAAGGATTGATAGTACTACTCATACCAACAAGGTGCATCTTCTTTTCGAGAGCTCATCACCTAAAAACTCCAAAGTTAAGCGTGCTTGACCTGGAGAAATTTTAGGATGGGTGACCCCCTAGGAAGTTTTACTTGGGCGCGCATGAGTGAGGACAAAGTGTGCGGGAAAGACTTGTGTTGGTTTGTGGGGCCAGTCTACAATCCTATGAGCGGACACTTACGGCTAGGGTGGGGGCCGGGGTGTTACAAATGGTATCAGAGCAGCCCTGCGACCGTGACGGGCCAAAAGAGCTTAGTTCACCTAGCGGGGAAGATCTATGGGTTCAAAAAAAAGGATGCAACGAGGACGTTGCATTCCTAAGTGGGGGTGAATGTAATACCCCGTATCAAGATGGGAATGTGAAGAGCTCAAAAGGATTGATAGTACTACTCATACCAACAAGGTGCATATTCTTTTCGAGAGCTCATCACCTAAAAATTCCAAAGTTAAGCGTGCTTGATCTGGAGCAATTTTAGGATGGGTGACCCCCTGAGAAGTTTTACTTGGGCGCGCATGAGTGAGGACAAAGTGTGCGGGAAAGACTTGTGTTGGTTTGTGGGGCCAGTCTACAATCCTATGAGCGGACACTTACGGCTAGGGTGGGGGCCGGGGTGTTACACAATAAGAGTGGGTGATGGAGTCGTCATCTGCAGTCTATTTGTGGTCTTCAAAAATCCTCCCACAATCCCGTCAATGTGTGACCCACCCCACGGGGGATGCCTCATTAAAAACTTGCCGAGGAAAAAACCCAAGAGGATGGGAAAAAATCCTCGGTCAAGAAAAGAGTACATCTCGTCCCACAGAGTGGATAAAGAAAAACATTGTAAGGGTGTGAGGTCTTTGAGTAAAGGAATTGTGATGGAGTCGTCATCTGCAGTCTATTTGTGGTCTTCAAAAATCCTCCCACAATCCCGTCAATGTGTGACCCACTCCACGGGGGATGCCTCATTAAAAACTTGCCGAGGAAAAAACCCAAGAGGATGGGAAAAAATCCTCGGTCAAGAAAAGAGTACATCTCGTCCCACAGAGTGGATAAAGAAAAACATTGTAAGGGTGTGAGGTCTTTGAGTAAAGGAATTGTGTGGATCTCCGAAGAGGCGATCCTTAAGTCCCCCAGACTCGTTGTCCAGAGTCGAGGGATGTTCGCCATAATGTATTGCCGACGAGTGCATGCCGACACGAATTGCAGCAGTGCCATGTTATATCAAGATGTTGATCTGCTAAGATCTCACGGTCTGCGATGTAACAAGCACGAGCCGAGTACCCGGAGTCCCCCACTCCCTGAGCCAAGGAAGAATTCCGAGGTGAAAGGGAGTAGTGTTCATGCTCGGCTCTGATGGGAGTCTTTGGTACCCTCGCTCTATGGCGACTTCCCTTTATAAATTAGTTTGCCTGAAAAAATCTCATACAAAAATAAACTGCTGGGCTTGCCTAAGAAGATTGACCAGACCGCCCACTCTGTGAGTAATTAATGTTATGCCCTAGAAAGTGGGCTAGGGGTGCGCCTCGGGAGGGAACTGAAGAGTGCCTTGGGAAGAGGACTTAGGATGCCTCGTGAGACGAGGGCTTATATGCCTTGCGAGAATAGTTGAAATTGTTTGGGAGATAACTTTAGTGCGTCGTGAGGTGGCCGAGGCCGACCTCAGTAGAGGGATTTTGGTTGCCTCAAGAGACGAGGGCTTAAGTTCTATGTGAGGCCGCCAAGGCCGACCTCGAGAGAGGGCTTTTGGTTGCCTCGGGAGACGAGGACTTAAGCAACTTGCGAGGTGGCTAAGGCCGACCTTGGGAAAAGAGTCGAGTGCATTGTGAGGTGGGTGGGACCGACCTCGAGAAAGGGCTTTTTGTTGCATCGGGAGACGAGCGATTGAGTGCCTCGTGAGGTGGATGGGGCCGACCTCGGGAGAGGGCTTTTGGGTGCCTCGGGAGACAAGGGCGTGAGTGCCTCGTGAGGTGGATGGGGCCGACCTCGAGAGAGTGCTTTTGGTTGCCTCGGGAGATGAGGGCTTGAGTGCCTCGTGGGGTGGACGGGGCTGACTTCGGGAGAGGGCTTTTGGGTGCCTCGGGAGACGAGGGCTTGAGTGCCTTGTGAGGTGGATGGGGCTGACCTCGGGAGAGGGCTTTTGGGTGCCTGGGGAGATGAGGGCTTGAGTGCCTCGTGAGGTGGACAGTGCCGACCTCGAGAGAGGACTTTTGATTGCCTCGAGAGCCGAGGGCTTGAGCACCTTGCGAGGTGGCTGAGGCCAACCTCGGGAAAAAGGTGAAATAATGTGCCATTCGTGAGCTCTACTAGGCGGACTCGGTTGCAAATTCCATGTGGTCTTCCATTCTGTACCTGAAAGACAAAATATGAAAAATTCCTCTGTCGTTTTGTTTTGTTTGTTTTTTTATTGGAGTGACGTGGCGCCGATGACGCGTGGTAGCGTAGAAGTGCGATCTCAGCAGATCTAATATTTGTCCTCAGCAGGACTGCAAGTTTTTGTCCTAAGAAGGACCTTGCGATACCCTCTGGAGGGATTTTGATCGCGCAATGACGAGGACCGCGTGAGGCCATATCGTGGCGTGGAAGCCTGATGATGCACAGCTGCATAGAGTCGCAGGGAAGCGAACATGAAATCGCGTGGAAGCGATATTTTTTTTAATGAATTTTCTTTTTTTTCTTCGATTTTTCTTTTCATTCTGGTTCTCATTCTGGACAATCCAAATTCACTGCCACACGGAGCAGCTTGTTTCCTCCTGCTCCGCCGACCAGCCAAGTTTGGGGGAATTCACTGTTGATTTCTTTGATCCACTAGAGCAGCCCGTGGTGACTTTAAAAAATGGTCTCCGGGTTCATATTCTGGGCGAGAGAAGAATCATGGCTGAAGCAGGTCACCTTTAGATGCTGAAGACTGCCACGGCCAGTCGTAGATCTCGCCGCGGAAGCTCACCTGATGTTATAAAATAAGATCTTAAATGATATAAAAATGAGCATAAACTACATGACCAAATATGTGGTATAAGACTAAAATAGAAACTTAAATGATAGTACTTATTAATTTAAAATACTTTAAATTCAAAGAAATTACATGATGAATTTTCAAAACTAACCACCATCATTTGTATGCAATTTATTAACTTATCCACATTTCACTTCAATTCCTTATTATTCTGTGCCTAAAACATGAGCATATCAAATTTCAAATCATAAAAAACATGTAAATCGTACTTTGAGATTGAGAAGTGTGTTTAAGCTCTCAATGACTCATTATTATACTTGATCAAAGTTTTTATCAATTCATGTATTTATAAATTTAAAAATAAAATAAATCTAAAAAAAGTGACAGAGAATCAAAGAGACATGGGTATGTCAGGATAAAGGAAATGAATCAAAGTCATGTGAATGCCTTAGAAAAAAATTACAACATAAATTAAAGGAATCAAATTAGAATTGTCAAATGAAAGTTTAAAGACTCATAATTCTGAAATCTATGACACCAATCGGAGAAGAAATTAAGAAAAAAGAACCTGACTTGAGCAGTAGAAGGAGACGAAGGTGACCGATCGAATAATTTTTGTAACACCCCAACCCGCTTGACCCGAATACAATGACCAGCGGATCGGGTTGCTACTAGATTGGCATTCAGACACAATAATTTTCAAAACAATTTAAAAACATTTAATTCAAAACGATATTTAAATATCCATCGGAGTTCACAAAACGGTGCGGAAGCCTTTAAGTATTTAATCAAAATACAACTTTGGGTTCTTGCCCTTAAAAACATAAATAATTCAAACTTAAATATTAAGCAGATTACTCCTCCAGCCAGCATCCATCCATCTCTCTGCCCTCGCTGCCCTCCAGGATAGTTCCTTATTCATCATTCATGTTACCTACGTGTAGCAAATAGGAAAAAGGCTACACGCTCAGCATTGAAGCTGAGTGGAATCTATCTAACGTTCGACTACGCACATAGACGAACCCACTAGCTCATAACTCCATACAATATCATGCACACAAGTATACAATATAATAGAACATAACAGTCACCAAATAAATTCACAAGTCACAAATCATTACCTTATTTCCTCTGTATTCATAGCTCATAACACAATTACCAGACTAAGTCCATACAGTTTTCCCGTTTGCATTGTCGACTACGCCGACCTCGTCCCCCGAGGCTTCTTCGCGTCCAGCCCACGCAGACTTCCCCACCGTCCAACCAGTGTCTGTCGCCAATCAGCCCACATCGCCGGCATCCGTCCCAGCTGTCTCCGAGTAGTCCCCACCTGTAACCGATAGCGACGGCGAGTCTGCCCCGGACAGTCCGCCGTCGCCCACACGTCCTACTCGTGATCGGAGACCCCCTGCCAAGCTCTCCGATTACTATTGCCACACCGCCCGGACATCTACTCCTGTTGCTCCTCGCATTGTTCCATCTAAGTCTTCAGGTACTCGATATCCTATCCACAATTTTGTTCATTATGAGAAATTAACCACATCAATGGGTTAATGCAACATGCAAATTGGAGACATGCTATGCAACTGGAGATCACAGCCTTGGAAAATAACCACATGTGGGAGGTAACTGACCTACCCCCGGATCGGACGGCTCTTGGATATCAATGGGTTTATCGTACGAAGTTTCACTCGGATGGTACGAAGGAGCGTGATAAAGCAAGGCTTGTGGTTTTGGGAAATCATCAGGAATTCGGGACAGATTATACAGATATGTTTGCTCCCGTAGCCAAAATGGGAACAGTACGTATTTTACTCTCTGTTGCTGTAGCGCGCAGTTGGGAGGTCCATCAACTTGATGTTAATAATGCTTTTCTGAATGGTGATCTTATTGAGGAAGTCTATATGCGCATGCGTCCCGGTTTTTCCATTCCAGGGAAAGTATGCCGCCTACGAAAATCATTGTATGGGCCACGCCAGTCTCCTCGCAATTGGTTCCATAAACTCAGCACTGCTCTTCGCCAGTGGGGTTTTAAACAGGCCCATAAGGATCATACTCTATTTATTCTTCATCATGGCCCGGATATTCTTACCGTTTTGGTTTATGTTGATGATATTCTGGTTGCAAGCAATAATTCTACCTTATGCACTTCTTTTAAGCGGTATTTGGACAAGTGTTTTCAGCTAAAGGATTTAGGCCCGGTAAATATTTCTTGGGCATTGAGTGTGCTCGTTCTGCTTCGGGCATGGTTATGTGTCAACGCAAATATGCGTTAGAAATCTTGCAGGAAGCCGAAATTTTGGGATGCAAGCCCGCTGATACGCCGCTACCTACGACGCACAACCTTGGCCGGTCAACGGCGGCTGTTCTACACGACCCCGCGCGGTACCGCCGTATTGTGGGGCATCTGATTTATCTTACTATCACTCGACCGGATATTTGCTACTCTGTCCATGTTTTATCTCAATATATGCGGGCTCCCACTCTTGACCACATGAACGCCGCTATGCGTGTCCTTAGTTACATCAAGGGTCATCCTGGCCAAGGTATATTTCTGAGTGCCACCAATAATCTCCAAATCTCGGCGTATTGTGACTCCAATTGGGCTAGCTGCCCATTATCTCATCGTTCTGTTAGCGGATATTTTATCATGTTGGGTACGTCTCCAGTATCATGGAAAACGAAGAAACAAACTACTGTTTCTCGGTCTTCTGCAGAGGCAGAGTATAGGGCTATGTCAAATGTTTGTGTAGAGATTCGTTGGATGCGAGGGATTCTCATTGCTTTGGGCGTGCCTATATTATATCCTCCCAGATTATATTGTGACAATCAGTCAGCGTTATACATTGCAACTAATCCTGTTTTTCATGAGCGAATGAAGCATGTGGATGTTGATTGTCACACTGTTCGAGAAAGTGTCCAGCGGCATGAGGTCTCGACAAGATATGTTCCAACGAGATACCAGTTAGCCGATATATATACCAAACCTCTAGCGAAACCCAGTTTTGACTTTCTGTTGTGCAAGTTGGGCATTCTGGATCTTCATGCGCCAACTTGAGGGGGAGTGTTAGCGGATATTTGTAGTTTTGGACTATAAATAGTTTATCGGGCCCACTTGTTAACCTAGCCCGCTTTGTATTTGTATAAATACATTTGCTTGTGATTAATAAAATCAGATCAGTTTTACTCTAAATTTTACAGAAAAAGCAACACTTTTGACTTGTGTAGAGGATTTTAACTTCTCAACTTTGTCATATAGATGGATGGAATCAAGTGTTCAACAGAATGACAGATTGGAATCTATTACCCAATTGAAACCAAAATTTAACCAATTCATTTTAAAATTCTAGATAAAATTACAAATAAAAAAATAAAATTACAGAGGAAGATATAAAACCTTAAGCTACTGCCTATTCTATAATTTTTTCCACCTCTCAAGGAACCGCACCCAAGATACAAATCCATGGATTTTTTGGATTGAAGAAAGATCAAAAGAGTCTCATATATCATTTAAGATAAAAAATTAAATTGAAATTGAAGCGGTGTAAATAACCAACCTACCTGGATGCAACTATCTTTATCCCTGCAAAATCCAGTCATTGCCACAGTGACAACATTCAAAACCCTTGTTCCCACCATGGTTTCTGGCAAACAATTCACAAAGACATGCCCAAAGACGGACAATAACCCTCTGAATATTATTTTATAATTAATATGTACGAAGTAATAAAAAGAGAGATATTGAAGAGGCTTATCCGTCTTTGGCGAGCAATGGGCAGCGGCGTAGATTAGGACATAACACATAATGCTGGTGCACAGGTGGAAAGCAAATACTCACAGACATCCTGTGCTGGTATGGCCAGGAAAACAAACAGTGACACTCACATGAGAATTAAATGTAGGTGTTAAGAAGGAAAAGAAATACACACAGGCATTCGGTGTCAATGACAAATAATTACATTATGACTAGTGCATTTTAAACAACACATTCATATAATCACACAACTTTGTAATTATTAGTTCAGCAGATACAATTTTATCAAAATTAGAGTTCGAAATTACTTGTAATTTGGAGACATCAAGGTCAAGAAGATGGCTAAGGAAGAGGGGATGGCAACGACCTACAAAGGTTTCAACTTTCAAATGGCGAGATGAATGTAAGTGCACATGCTCTAAAGAAAAGAAACCTGCGAAAATGGAGCAATCAAAGACAGAGGACTCGGCAAATATAGAAAAAACTCATGTAACACCCCAACTCAAATAACCCAATTACCTAGATTATTTGAGCCGGAGTAGTTACCATGATGGTAAATACGCATGGTAATTTGAAGGATAGTTTAAAACCAATTTAAACTTTAACATAAATGATAATTTCAAATATTAAATTCAGAGTATTGCTGAAACAGTACGGAAGCTTAAATATAAAACATAATCAAATTGTTTTACATTTTTCTGGGTTCTCGCCCGAAAAGGTATTTATTTAATTAAAGCATCATAAATGTGGTCCACCAGTCCGTACATCTCGTCACTCTCATTGACCTCCGCGATGGGCTCCATGATCAGTATTATTACCTGCGTGTAGCAAGTAAAACAAACTACACGCTCAGCGTCAGCTGAGGAATACGCTAATACAACAATTCCAAGTTGAATAGCAAGTAGACATACAATTGTTCATGATGTGACATAATAGAGCATATATGTTCAAGATGATGGTAATGATACGTAATTGATGCCATACGTAATCATAATGATTTGCACTTGATGATGATTTCATGCTGTATGATTCTAACGAGCAAAGACACCCTTGCGCTATGAGGTTCGCCCATTTGGTACGACGAACTCACGCGGCCTTAGTCTCACAAGGAAGACTAGAAAGTAGGGGTGGTACTCGAAACCTGAATACCATGTACGTACACTAAGCCCGGAACGGGTGATGTCGGACTAGTAAGTCACGCACATCACGCTATAAGAGACGCAATTACACATGATCTCTTACGCATGCATATGATATGATATGCTACAATATGTGTGATGAAATGAATGATATGCCATGAACAATTTGTAAACAATATGAATACATAATCATGCATTAGTTTATTTGGATGAAACATGATTAAAATATCATTTAATTAAGCTACGGGGCTCGGAACGGTCGACCGTTTGGCGCGACGGTCGACCTTGAACTTCATCGCGTCGGGTTGGAGAATCACCGTGACGGTCGACCGCGGTTGACCGGCGGTCGACCGTTGTTGACTGGAGGTGGACGGCGGTACTTGGCTGGGCAAGCGACGGCTGACCGTTGGCCACTGGCGGTCTACCGTTTGTCTGACAGTCTTGCTCCGTTTCGATTTTTAATGCAACGGTTGACCATTTACGTCGACCGTTCGGGTCTGCGAATCCTATTTTTTGATATTTTTGGATATCTAAAATACTTTTTTGAGTTATTTTAACACTTATGATTTAACATATCTATGTATTTGAAGTATTCTTAACATTTATATTTTCATTTAAGGTGAAGTATCAAGAAAAACATATTTTTACTTTATGAGTTTAATGAGTTTGATCTTAAAGCATAAATGACTTATAATATGGCAATCAATTCTAACGATATATCTAGATTGATATTCAACCAAGGATTGTGTTACTAAGGTGCAATGTACTCGCCTTGATATCGTAGAGGATGGAAATGATAGAAAAATAATAATACGCCTCAATGAACGTTCAACGTACGGTTGCCCCTATCAACTTCGAGCTTCCGACGTTCAATCTTCTTGGAAATAATCTCCGGGAGTTCCTAATAACCACGAGAGAGTTGACGGTAAGTATTTGGAAAGAAACGATATGAAAACGATGAAGAAACATGGCCAATCTGAGGAACTCTCCACCACTGGAGTAGTCCCGGTATTTTGGCCATATCTCCTTCGTTACTTAACGAAATCACGAACCATTTGTTGGGTTGGATTCGTAACGTCCGAGGCTACGATTTTGGTGTAATAAACATTTTGAGAAAATGAATGGAAAAATTCAGAATTGACTCACAAGTGGACAGATTGTTTTATGCTCAGAATTTTGGAAAGCCTTAGTACTTCTTCTTGCTCCTTCTTCTTCCTTTGGCACAACAATGGAGTTTGAGTCTCCCTATCTTTTCCTTGCAGAGACAGCCGACAGAGAGAGAGAGTAAAGAGAGATTGATTGTGTTGTGAAGGCAAACTTTGACAAAATGGAAAAGTATTTGGAGTATTATATTGAGAAGTTTTGGAATTATGGTGTAGTGGAGGTGTGAGTGGATTTGGTGGCTTGATTGAGGATTTGAAGGGATTGGGCTGCGTAATTGGAGATTTTGTGGAATAAAAATTATTCTCCTACTCCGTAATTGATAAGCTGGCTAAACGGTACGCGCTTTTTCGCCCAAACTGTTCCGTTTTAAAAACGGATCGCATATCTGGAATCAGACTGTTAAAACTAAAATTTTGATATAATTAAAATATTTTTCTGAAAACTTTTATTTTTTTAGTGTTCGGATCTGTCTCAGTTATTAATTAATATTTAAATTAATTAATTCTTTTAGGCCTACTTTTGGGGCGTTACAACTCACCTCAGAAATCCAAGAAAGAGCCGACAGGGAAGAAAAGGTCAGAAGATCAGGCGAGGAGGATATCGGAAATAGATTAGCCAGCTAGGAGGAATTGATTAGCCTCTAAGGAGGAAGAGGCCAGAATTGCAGCGGTTGTGGTTGGGAATGGAAGTCTAGGTGAACATATTTGTTTAATAAAACCCGAGAAGAGTGGCGAGGGATGTTTAATAAAACCCTAGAAGATAATTCCATAACACTTTTATCATAACACTATTTTAAACAATTACAAAGGGAAAATAGTTAAATTGGTTCAATGCTGAAAAGATACTCATTTATCAAAAGAAACTCAAAACTCCTAGATCATTGGTTCAACAAATTGAATAAACATGTAGGTCAATGATTCCGTCAATTTGTCCTAGATAGCAAAAACATCCAATAGCATCAATGAAATTAGCCAAGAATTCATTTAAGCATATCAGCGAAGAAGTGAAATTAGCCAAGAATTCATGACCATGAAAAATTTAAGTCATTTTTCACCGTTCTTCTACATCGCCAAGCCTGGTTTTCACATTTTTCTGGTTTTCCGGCGAGGAAATCTGCGAAGAGCCGCGCGGTTCCGGTCACGGCATCATATACTCCGTACATACAAATCAATTCAGAACGATAAGGATACGATTATAGATAGCTATATTGGCAGATGAACTGAGATGGGGGCGACGGGATCGAAACTGGAGAAAGCTCTAGGAGATCATTTTCCGGAGGGAGAGAGATACTTCGGTCTTGAGAATTTCGGAAATACTTGCTACTAAAACAGCGTCCTCTAGGTTCGTTTGCTTCTGCTTTCGATTTGGCTCCTTGAACACTGGAGAAAGCTCTCGGAGATAAATGCAAAGAAGAGGACTGCGGTAGTGCGCGAAGATCCAGAGAAGAAGTGAAAAAACCTTACGTGTAAACATTACGTGTCATAAAATTGAGCCTTAAAAAATGCCACAGGTCAGTTTTCTACACATTCAACTCTCAAATTTTATATTAAAGGATATATACATATATATAACCATTAGTTACATCAATTGATCATATATAATGGATCCTAAAGATGGAAGTAGTAGAAATTTTAGAGAAAGAAAGCTTAATGAATGTATTTGTGTGCTAAGAATTTGATCCCCCCTAGCTCCCTTGCTGGACAAGCGGTTCAATTTATACAATCAGGCTTTGGACCAAGGTCCAACTATTTTAGGTTTTGGCCCATGGGTCTCATCAATTACATTTATCTTGTTGACCATGTCCATGACACGTCGCCCTCTTTTGACGTCCTTAGCTTCTGACCACTGAGTTCGCGTGACTCCCCAGGAGTTGACCTTCACACCCGAAGTGCTGCATTTGGGATGCCGAGGGTGCCACGGTGTGGGAAGCGTGACATATGGGTGTGGTCTCGTCGCTTATCTCATTTTCGGCCGAGCGTGTACTATTGGCCGAGCATGACCCTCGTGTAGCCTACATATACATCACATGTCTAGCCATGCATACGTAGGGCCAGGAAGCCGATCGCATATCTCCATCAAGAGTTCCGCACTTCCCAAGGCGAGATTTTGAGACAAAGGGAAGTGTTTTCCTTTTATATGGACGAGGGATGAATCCTTGTCGCATGCCCAACCTGGTCAAACTCAGTTGGTTACGCTTGTTTGCCTTATTCGGACGAGCATGTCGCCGTTTGATTGCGTTAGGCTAGACTAGACGTGAATTCTAACCCTTGGGAGACATCAATAGTAATCTCGATAACCCATGTCTTTTTATGCAGTATTGACAAAGAATACAAGCAACTATCAAATTATCAATGTATGTATTATCCAACACTAATTATCAATTTGACGCTTATATGTACTGATATGAACGCATACAAGAGTATAATCATAACTCAAACTATACAAATATGCTAAAAGAATTTCAAAGAAGTATATATATGTTAAAATCATGTTAACTTCATAATCGCAATGCAAGAAATGAACGTAATAATCATATACGTTAACTCCAGAATCAAATACCAAAACAATACTCGAGGTAGTATTGAATCAAAGACAAATGCTATTGTGAATCTACGGTCCGCAACATTTTAGGTGGACCTCATATGAGGGTGATAAGTTCATGCTTACTACCCTGATAAATATCTTTTTTGTAAAGTAAAAATGCTTATTAGGATAGCTCATCCTCATATAAAGTTCCACCTAAAATGTTGTGACTCAAGTTTACCAAAACAAAGCCCTCTTAATCAAATTGTTTAGTGTGGAGAATAAGAAAATGTAAAAATACTTGGAGAGAACTCAAGCATTTGATACCAAAGTGTAAGTCAAGCAAATACAAACACATTTAATGTCTCCACTCACAAACATTAGATATGTGTGTGTCTGTATTTGTGCACTAATGCCAAATGCTTGAATGAATGAATTTAGAGAGAGAGAGATGCTTAGAAAATGTCAAGAATTTCGAGTATGAAATTGTTGCAGAGTGGGCAATTCCCCTTCTCGGCCCATAGCTCCCGGGAGCATAGCCTGCAGAAGGTGTGGCCGCACGGCTCGAAAAGCTCGCCCTTGTGCCGAACCATACACACGCAGCAATTGTGGAACTCTCCGCCGCCGTAATCGTCGCAGCTCTCCCCGTAATCCTCTTCCTCCTCCTCGTCCATCGCGTACCCGCCTTCCGATTCCGCCAGCAACGCCATCAGCGACATCCTCACCGGTTGCTCTCCTCCTCCCTCCTCCTCCTCCTCCGCGCTTTTCTCTTCTTCGCCACCGCCCGTCTCTTCCTCTCCGCCGCCGCCGATCGATCTCCGGATTGACATCGAATTCTGTAGCCTCAGGCTCCTCTCCGCCGCCTGACTCGGATTCTTATGCAACATTCGGCTAGATCCGGATCTCAGATCTCTCCGCGACGCCGAGAATTCCGGCTTGTACTCATCGGCCGGATACTCTGCGTCGGCGCCGTGATTCGCCGAAGGAAACCGCGAGGAAAGCCTCCGAGTCATCGAGCGGCTGTTCGTCGGATTGATCGGGACGTCGGATGCGGGGACGGGGACGGTGGAAGTCCAGGCGGCGCCGTCGACGTCGCGCTTCAAGCGAAGCTTCTCCTTGAAATGTTTCCATGTCTTCTGGTTGTCTTTGCCGCCGTTGGGTTCGTCCTTTATGACATCCAGAAGGGTCCGCGTCTGATGGGTAGTCACCGCCGACATCTCTCCTCCGCCCAGTACGGCCAATAACGTCAGACCGGAGAGATTTTCACGGTGGCCGTGAGAATTTGTTTTTTCATTTAATATCAAAGATCTGCTCCGTCCTGCAACAACGTGATGCATTCACCTCTACTGGAATGTGATCGAGAAAATTTGGCTCAATATTTCATCTCCTTTTTATTGTTTTTTTTTCAATTTGTTTTTCATTGGGTTTGTTATGGATGGAGGGTGAAAGGAGATTTGCATGTTATGGTTCCAATAATGTGGAACCATTTTGTACTCCAACGTACTCCATTTTGTACGGTAACATAATTTTGTGTTAGTGTAATGCTAATTTTTGTTTACGCACCAACACTTTGTGTCAGTGTAAATTTTGTTAACGCACAAACATTTTGTGTCAGTGTAAATTTTTGTTAACACACCAACACTTTGTGTAATTGTGTCAGTGTGAACAATCAATATGTTGGTGCATATCTTTGGTGTACAAATGAGTACAAATTTTGAGATGGGTAATGGGTAATGGATTGTGGGACACAATTTTTTTGAAACGTGTAAATCTTTTAGGAACGGAGGGAGTATAAATTTTAGAGCCAAATCTCCTATAAACTAACATATGTCAAGCTTTAGAGACGACATGCGTTAAGTCTTAGAGATGACATGTGACAAATTTAATATGAATTGATTTCTTTTTTATTCTACTTCCTTATTTTTCATCTCTTCAAATATTGATCACACCTTTTCACTCTTTTTTCCAAAAATGATAATTTCCTATTTCAAAATTCATGAATCTAAATTTTGTGTTTACATCAAAAGATCTAAGAGATTTAGATGTTTTATTAAATGGTTAATGAAAAGATACACATCCTCATATTGGTTTTTTCATTATGGATAAATTTTAACAAATATAGTTTTCTAAAATAAAATAAGGATTGCATATCACCTAATTAAAGATAAAATGTTTAATAAATAAAAGAACTACATTGTGTGTGTCAATATTTTATATGTAAAATAATAATAAGGAATACTATATGATTTAGTGTATTCTATAATTTTTTCCTAATAATTATAATTTTCTTAAATATATTACACAGAATACAAATAGAGATTCTATCAATATTCAAATTTTGTTATGAAATTTTATATATCCAAGTCAAGTTACTGGTTGTGTTTTAATTGTTAATTTATAGAGGAAAAAAAACCTTTCTTTTCAAAAGAAAATATTTTTCTTAAAAAATAAAATATTTTCTTAATCAAAATATAA